GGGGGGGCACTATTTCCCCTGGACTGGACCGCGCCCTGAGCCATCTCTTGGCCAACTCACATTGTTACCGCGACACGACAGACCCAACCCACCCTCCTGGGAACCAACACGCCCACCGGCTTGCATCTTTGCTCGAAAGGACTGTAGACTGCAGAACGTTAAAATGTTGTTTCGCCGCACCCATTTGTTATAGCTTACCTGGTCCTGGTCAGAACTTAACGGGAGGAGAGAGATGCAATGAAAACTAACATGCGTATGGACCTTCTTTTTAATGCGTAAGAAAAGATGCAACACACTCGCTAGAACTTCGACTCGACTAGATTAAATTGTCATCACATCTTCACTAAGCGAACTTTTTCAGTAATTTTGCACATAAAAAATTGTGATAGCATATACACATATGACAAAAATAAAAATCAGTGTTGTTAATTGACGACTGTAATTACTCGGCGTACTCTTGTCAGTCTTTGCTACAGTGTGGCGGGGCCAGCGGGGTCGCACCCCTCTCCACAGTCAGGTAGGTTCCGAGCCATTCCCTCGCGCCACGGGGCCCTGGGGCCGAAGCCGAGGGGGCCACCACTCGCGTAATCCTGTGTACAGATGAGGGTGTAATCCCTCTGTATTCCGTGTAATACTTGACGAAATTTTAAACCATGATCACATAATTTCACCTTATTGTCCAAATTTAGCGGTTTTAAAGCCAGAATTTCATCAAAATTCATGTTTATTCCCTCAAGATTCACGCGTAGTCCCTGTAATCACTTAATCCTGTGTACCAGGTGGCTGATTAACCCCGCGCACTTCTGTACCGCACGAAGGTACACGCAGGTACACGCACTCGTGCGTGCGGTACAGTCTAACTACACAAGTGTGCGAGGTTAATCTGCCACCTGGTACATCCTAAATTGAAGTGGTGGCCCCCTCGGCCGAAGCAGTAGACCTTTCGCCCCACATTCTCCTCTTCCTCTCGGCATATAGTAAAATACCCGTTGGATCTGAAAATAGAGAGGCAAATGTGAGTTTAACACCGCTGCCGATACTTTGGGAAGGGCGGAGAACGGCATGACAGATGACCGGTTGGGGTGGCTTCAGGTGGACCACTTGCTGTACAGTACTCCGTACCGGTAAACGACCCTCCGGACGATGCCGATGTCCAGAGGCAACGCCAGATAAGGTCGACGCGACGCTTCGGGGTGGCGATTACCCCCAGTATTTTCAATCGGCCATTTAGGCCCTAGGAGTTGTTTGCAGATCAGTGACACTCTGAACGAACATCACTTCCTGCCCTCTCTTTTGAGGTTTCATATTGACATAAAGTGTGGATGACAGTGGTGGTATGATCTGCGGCGTAGTATTAGATTAGATTAGTTTTATTTGTATGTATGTACTGCATGAAACCGCACTCTGAACTATTTTGTAAGCCTATCTCCTTGGTGCATTTTCACTCACACCGTCACACATCAAAGTGTGAACCAGCAGGTGTTGTGTTTGTGTGCGCAATTTTCGCGTGGGTAATGAACGTTTCACGGTGGAAGAGGCGCCCCCAGGTAGGCAACCCACCGCCCGACGCGTTGGCTTGGTTGCCTACCCACTGCTCCGGCAGGCGCTACGCGGTCATACGATGCCGAAAAGTCACCGCGAACCAGTTTTCGACGTCGTTTCTCGTCGCGGCCTCAAATATGGATGTGTTTGCGATTACTGAGAGTGAATGTTACTAAACCTTTTCTTTGATCTCTATGTTGCATGTACCAGTGGTGAAGGCGTGCGTGCGGCTCTCGTGGGCGCAACCTACACGCAGTCCGAGTTCATGTAGTTCCGGGCCCGACGCCCGTCGCCCGACCACCACTCGAGTGAGGTCGCTACTGGCGGGGTCGGGAAAGGCAGTTGCCCAGCCAGCCCAGCCCCGAAGGTCCGAAGGTCGCACAGTGAGACCAGCCTTGGCCAGTGGCCAATGGCCACTGCACCGCCGATTTGACTACCTCACCGACCGACTTCTCATCGGCTGGCGCGGCCGGCCGCATCAGCCGGTCCTGGCGATCCCCAGGGACATCGTCCCGGGCCTACACAAGCGCCCTCCTCGGCTCCTCTCTCGACTGCTCCTACTGCCACCCCTACCGCCTCACCCGCCGACCAACCACCACACCAACCTGTCCACTCCTCTGCCTCCGAGTGCGGCAATCTAGGCGACGTTTACAACGACCTCCGGGACGGCCTCTGGTCCGGCGCCCGTGTCACTGCCACTGACGGCTCAGGAGCCCTCACGCCGGACGGGCCAACGTTCGGAGCCGCCGTCCACGACGTTACGACCGGCGACAACAGCTGTATTTAGTTAGGAGAGCTAAAGCCGAGAGCTAAACGCGAGAGGGCAAAATGATAGCCGAGAGCGAAGAATCGGTAGCCGACC